CATCAGTTCTCTATCTCGTCTGCATCTCACTTCTCTGGCTCGTTTGTCAATATCTAGGAGCAGTAGCTCTTGACCGTACTCGCCGATGATTTCTGAGCACACTGAAGATGATTAATCCATCATCCGGCGGTATTTGTTATGTCGAAAATGACAGTCTTGAATGAGGACTCGAGTCATCCGCCTGCCATGAAATTATTGACAAAACATAAAATTGAAACAAAACCAATACTGGCTGCAAAAGAGGGGGTTTGTTTCAGGTTTTTCCTGTCTTCGAGGTTTAAGAAGGCTCCCAAGAGGTGCTTTACCAACTCTTTAAAATTGCCTATCAAACTGGCATAATAAACATATACATAATGCTGCATCATCCATTTTCTCGCCAATATTGTGCTCACCGGCGGCTTGTGGGCCAACCAAAAGTCTGGCGTGCGCTACCGTACATCGCAAACGTGTCTGAAGCAACTGCTCGACTCCTGCAAAAATTGGGTATCGGAATCGCTGACAGACTCGAGGCAACGATCAGACGATTGGTAATGAAACCAAAGGCCACCCTGTCCCGAGGTGAAACTGCCATTATCGTGGACCGGATCAACTGCAGGTCCTACGATGTGAACTATTTAGGGGAAACGGGCAAGCGATTGCAGACGCGTATGACCGAGCACGAGGGAGCGGTGCGCAGCCAGAACTGATTCTCGCTGGTGGCAGAACATTGTGCAGCCACTGGGCACAAGTTCGCCTTCAAAGACGCTGAGGTCGTAGGGCGAGGAAGCGACCAAACGGCCAGGGAGACGCTCGAAGCCTGGTATACCACAACTAACTCCATTAATCGCTGTGTGACGCTAGCAGTAGCCTACCAAGCTCTGTGGGAAAAACACAAGAAGCAGAACCACGGACAAGAACGCCGACCAGAGGCACCAGCCAACATCACAAACGAGGGCGTAGGACCACCGGACGCAAACACAAATGGGAGAGAAGCTGTTTCGACCACAAGCCTATGAGAGCGCGAACAGAATGGGAACGCGGGTGAACACGAGCCCACGCCGATAAGAGACAACGGTGACGTTGACGGCCAGGCCGGTAGCAACCGAGTCGTGAGCGCGAACATGGCAACCGCAGCCGGCGCCTGAAGGGGAAAGTGTGAACGCGGCATGACGTCGGCCGAGCCCAACCGACGAACAAGGCGAACCCGATCAATGGCAACTGTCGCACCAACGCCACCACCACCTCCTAACGAGAAGAGCCCGCAACCGCATGACAACAGTCATCCCCATGCCTAGCTAAATTTAATCTATAAATACAGTGAACAGTCGTGCATTTACCACCTTTGACAAGGGAAGCTTGTCTGATTCCGAAACGTTAGGACATGAAATACTTGGTTTCCGTGATCGCCTTGCCCTCTCAATTTTGTCGAGGAACACACATGGTAGCTTCTATCAGAAATATATGTATATTGTAGCAGATTTGCAAACACCGATCGGATAGAGGACACACTCGCCGGTGCATGTTGCCATTAGAGTTCTCACCCGAGCCTCCACCACAGAGCGGCTAAGATATGGGCAGAATTACATTACCGAAAAAGACATGGGACACTACAATGGACATTTTTGGCTTATTTTCAGTCATTAAGTAATGATACCCAATTCCATTGTTGCTGCTGAAGTGTGGCAGCAATTTCAGCAGTTGGGTATAACTACCTGATGACGGCAAATAAGTCAGAAATAGCCATTGTAGTGTCCCATGTTTTTGTCGGGTATGTCCCTCTGCAAACATTCAGCTTAGACTTGCACACTTAATAAAAGGGCTGAACAATAAACAGTAGCTAATTAAGATAGCAAGCAAACGGCCCGGAAATCGAACCACAGGCAAATACTGCAAGCCCATTTGAGCAAAGTAGAAGATTCCGGGACACAGCTACTCATCAATAAAGTATAAAGAATCAGTAATTTACCATTGTACAGGCGTGATGTGTACGAATTTACTCTCTCGCCAAACTTGTTTGTATCTTCCGGGGTATAGAGCACCATTGTTGTTAAGGCGGTATCTTTAAAAAATTCTGCGGCGGTTTCGGTTCTCACCAGAAATCCGATAAAAAGGCTGACTTTTCATATAGTAAATATCTTTCTTACATCGTATACCTTTCTAGAATGAATTCCAGGACCCTGAAAGTTGAGAAGCCGAAATCAAAATATACTCAGTCAACGATTAACTTGTCTTATAAGGGCAATGCTTCCGAATTACAATCGAAGCCATGTACGTTCTCGGTTGCTTTCCCAGTCTTATTTTATGATTCCATGTATGATTATTTACTACTATTGTCTGTTTTCTTAAGTTTTCTCCGACTACCGAACTATGCAAGATTTGGTAGCCAAATTGACTTCTCTCGAGTAGTTTTAACTATGCGAAATGTATAACTATACTAATACTAACGCCTGCAAAAGTAGTGGCCTTTCTGTATGACTTCCAAAGACTTTTAATGATTTTGGCGACCTGCACATTTCCTAATTTCGAACTAACTGATCTAGCGTCGTCGTGTGCGCAGTGATCTGTCAAACGCTTAACGGCTGGTTTCCATTGTCATGTCGCGGCCTCCCTGTCGTTTTAGATCAAACTCATTAACAAAGTAGGCACAGACTGTCATTTTTATTCTCGACCGGTTGTATTGTTTTCCGGCGCAAATTTATCATTCCTTTGCATTGCGATTACCTAGCTATTCGCCAGGGTGGTTTGCAGCTGGTCGGTAAACTGCAAGGAACTCGTCGCAACCCACCTCCTCCGCCATGGATCCCTAGCCTTAAAGCTGAGATGGGCGGGCAAGACACTAGGATAAATCTCGTTCCACCTGGAGGCTCGGGATGGGGTACGGGACCAAATGCAACATCGACTTCACAGCCAGGATCGATGACATCTTCAACAATTCTCAAGGATGATGCAAAAGGCGAACCAAAAACAGGATCCGAGAATCCCGATACAGGTTCTTCAACAGAACAGAGCCAATTGAATCCCACTGCTAAAATCTCTCAGAAGCGTAAGCTTGGTTTAATTCTGTTGTGTCTGGCATATCAGCCATTCTCTTCCCCCCACAGATTTAAGGTCATTGTGGGCGTTAACAGTCTTAGTTATAATAAATGACAGAAGTTTTTATTCGTGAATTACATTTTATGATTTGTTTTCGTTGTGTATGTCTGATAACTATTTCTGGCGCGAAATTTTATTATCTGTTATACCCCTCTTAGCTGAAATTTGCTTAGTAAACACTGTTTACTGTGGACACAGGCTACAATTTTTCAGTCCTTTTGGGTCCAATGCATGCCCTGTTTTCTTTTTACGATGTTTTATTTGCTCATTGAATACCATCTTTTTCTCAGCATTCTTCGCACCTCGGCCGAAAGTTGCGTCTTCCAAAAGTGGAGCAGACAGTTTACAGGAGTCTTTAACGGGCTCGGTCATGCCAGCTGGCCCGACAGTTCCTTTCTACCAACGCCAACCCACCACGGTAATTTTAGACAAAAAATGTTTTCGGTATTTAATTTTTATTTATCAGGGTGGTCCGGATAGCTCTTACATACAAGTACGCCACATTTATCATTAAAATTGTTTATACACCCCTAGGCCTCGTCTTAAGTGTATAACTGATTTTCTCGCACTTAGGCTTTCCAGTATTTTCGTAACTGCCACATTTTTCAATGTAATAGGATTAGGACCAGATAACTGAAACCCCGAAATTTTCTAACAGACTGATTTTAAATCATTTTAGGTACATTGCAATTCTCGGCATCATTATTAAGTGACTTCTGTGTTGTAAACTTGCATCGTGTCATGATGCATATGCAGTTAATCAAACCATATATAAC